CTGCACTGAGAAGCTAAAGCCACTTCCACACGAGTTCGATTCCCGCCTGCCCCGGAGGTGACCACAAGGCGTGGCAGACCTCTCCTGACCCGCCCGCTGCTCCCCTCAGTAGTGTACTTCGTCGATCTGCCTGTTTTGCTCCCCACTCTGTCTCTGGTGAAGCCTCTCGCCACCCCTGAGCCTCTGGCCTGTACCCCAGTTCTGTATGTACAAATAAATAAATCTTCAAAAAAAAAAAATTACTGAGTGAGGCCCTTCCTGGTGGCGCAGCAGGTTAAAGCACAGCACTAAGAAGCTAAAGCCACTTCAGCATGAGTTCAATCCCCTTCTCAGAGGTGATCCACATGGCGCGGTAGATGTCTTCTGACCCACCCGCTGCTCCCATCAGCAGTGCACTTTGATGCACTGTTCTGCTCCCCACTCTGTCTCTGGTGAATCCTCTCACTGCCCCTGCACCTCTGGCCTGTACCCAGTTCTGTATGCATAAATAAATCTTTAAGAAAAAATAGTGAGAGAAGGAAAATGAGCCAGGTTGAACTATCTGATAACATCAAAACATCATCAGAAAGCATGGCATTACTATGCAGGTTCCACAAGAGAAAACTAGCTATACTATGAAAGCAACCAGATAATGAGAAACTAGAAGTGCCCAACTAACACTGCAGTTACTGTCACTGCAAATCCTGTTTAACTCCCAATAAGGCAGGTCCAGTACATGGAACTGTACATAGTTTCTTAATATTCTGGATAATAAGCTGCTCACCAATTCACAAAACACAACAGTAGCCCTTATCTGGGAGGATATATGCCAAGACCCCTGGTAAACGCCTGAAATAGTGGGTAGCCAGAAACCCTATATATACTGTTTTTCTTTATACAGACATAAATATTTTTTACATTTCCTACAGAAACATATCAGTAAAATTTAATTTATAGACTAGGCAAAGTAAGAATAACAATAATAAAATATAACAATACATGTAGTGAATGTTACAGGTGAACATGGTTTCTCTTTCTCAAAATATCTTACTGTATGTTAACATTTTCAGAACCAAGTATATTGGGGCAACTGAACTAAAGATACCGAACCCTGGATAAGGAAGGACTATACTTTAATACCAACACTAACAGAAGTGTAAGCTTTGCTGCCGTTGTAGAGGCCTTCCCTGCCCTGGCAGCAATGGTTTTAAAGGAACTAACTGTTGGAGCTTGCATCAACTGCTCATTTGTGCATAAAAGTCGCCAATGAATACCAGCAATTCACTCAAGACTGCTCACACATTTTCAGCAATTTCATCAAAACATAATACAACTTCTCCAAGGCAGGTGTGAGTTCTTCCTAATATGATAATAACAGACTTAAATGGCTACTGAGAAAAACAGAATTTGGAAGACTTTTTTGTTGTTGTTCTAACTGTGGAAAAGGAGCATGTAAGAACTGGTCTTCTGAAATTATGGGGACAACAACCAGAATGATACTAAAATACTTTCCTCCTGTTACAACACCTGTCCCCAAAGGCAGAATACACACTGGCAGCACTGAGAATGGTTACTCCAGGGCCTGACACAATGCCTTCCTCCACTTCATCCAGTTGCCAACACCAAACACCCACTCCTCTCTAAAGCTTCTGCTTATTCTATCAGACTTCTTGGCTGCCCCCTCAACGAGGGAGCTCCTTACACATTTGAATGAATCCTTCTCTTAGCATTTAGCCCTCACCTTTATGCCAATGATTTTTTAACATTTCCCTTGCCACTAGAGGGACCACAGCCTCCAGTGAGTGGCTTCATTAGTCATATCTCCTGCGATTTCAGTATGTGAATCTTGCATTCATACCTTTTTATTACGAGTTTGGGGTTACCACTCTCCCCTTGTCTTTCAACAAGTGTCTTAATAGAACACATCATGTGTGCTAGGTACTAGTAAAGGGTAGAAGTGAAGATTTTAAGAGACTCCCTGGCTCCCACCAATACACTGACATTGTAAAAGAGAGAGAGAGAGGATAAAATCATTTCCATAAAGTGTGCTGACACTGAGTGAAGCACTTCTGGAAGAGGGGATCCAGACAGCTCCTTCTGCCCAACAAGTCCTGGAAGAAGCAATAACTGGACCTTAACCCAAACAGCAGCTGTTTCACACCCTGTTTTGGTTCTCGCTCCCTTTCAATCCACTCTGCCCATCAGCCTTCTAGAGGACCAACTTGTCACATGGCTTTGATGCAGATTTCTGAAGACACATCAAGGCCAGGGACTTATCTCCTGGAATATACCTCAGGAATTGAGGCTCTCCGAATGCTGATCTGTGAGCTCAGTATGTCATCCCTGAGAGAGAGGATGGCTCTCTGAGGCAGTCCTGGCCTCATGTTGCACATGGTTCACCTATAAGAGGGCATGCCAAGCTCTGTGCAATGGACACTATATAGTACATTCTAGACTATCTGGGATTTCCTGCTCCTGGCCTTGCTCATGTCACTCCCCTTGCCAACCTAGGGCCACCAAATATGGCTGTCTGGTGCACAAACTATGTGCACATGGCAGCCCTGTCTACCCCCCTCAAAACATTTCCCATTTTAGGGGGCTATGGGTGATTTTTTAAAAGCATGCTCCACAATGTATCACACACTGAAAAACTTATACATAAGAATAACAACTCATTTCACTCTTTATATCTAATACAATAACATGAATATTTAGGCTGTCCAAAGCCTTCTCTGAATTACTCATCAAGAACCGGTTTGTGTTCCTCTTTATTCCTAAGATCTTGGACCGTTTTGCAACTATAGAGACATACCTTCCTATAGCTATCACTATAGGAAGTTTATTATTTGCCTGGCACTATATGAAGGGCTTTACCCATGTTGCTTCTTTAATGCCCACTGGGAACCCATAAGGTTGCAGCTACCACACCCATGTTGCAACAAAGGAAACCAGGATTGGAGAACTTACTCAAGGCAAAGAACTACCCTATGGTTTTTTCCCAGTATAAATTTAAATCTAGCTTCTAAAACCGTAACTCTAAAATATTTGGAAACTGACTAAAGCAACTTCCCAATCCTTGCTACTGAGACTTTTAAGCAGGGAGTCAAGAATCTTAGTCACTCTTGCATCTACTCTAATGCCTACCCTGGAGCTCACCCAGAAGTACAAACTCAAAGATACTTTATGATTACATGAAAGATGTATTTTTTGATGGAAATGGAGAAACGATGATTATGACTCTTAAAACAACTGATGTTCACAGCAAGCCCACAGGTCCTAGCTTAAAAATATATTGAAAACTGGACTTTCGCAGCTCTACTGACTAGGCTTAGTGTGTCTCTTGCCTCTGAACTATTCTCCCACAATCTAACCTCAGCAAATCAACCAGTGAAATGAACTGTGTTACACACTTCTTACTCTGACATATATACGGCTGTACATGAATGATCAGGATAAAAGCTAGACTGCCTAGTCTCTACATCCCTTCATGAACTACCCTCCCTATACTGGCCTTCTTGATCTGTGCACCAGCCCATCCCTTTACATTAAATGCTCTTATTCTACAATACTGCAATGGTGACTCCTTCTACAACTTAGCAATTATCTTCCAGGTCACTTTCCTCATTTTTGTTTCAACACTCTATCTACAAAAGAATCCCATGCTATTCTCCATCTTGTGCTTGCATTTGAGGAAGTGAGGACTATGTGAAAACTACTTCAATTATTTTTTTTTTCAGATTTACTTATTTATACATACAGAACTGGGGCACAGGCCAGAGATGCATGGGTGGTGAGAGGGAGCAGAATGGGAAGCAGAACAGGCAGACTGACAAAGTATATTGCTGCGGAGAGCCAAAGGCAAGACAGGAGAGGTCTGCTGTGCCATGTGGGTCACCTCTGGAGGGCAGGGATCAAATATGTACCTAAGCAGCCATGGCTAGCTTCACAGTGCTGTGCTTAACCTGCAGCGCCACCCGGGAGAGCTCTACTTCTAATTATTTTTAAAAGGTGTCTAGTTAATATTGCTCCTCTCTCCAGCTAGACCATAAACTCCATGGAGGTAGGAATTATACTACACCCCCAGAGGCTGAAAACAGGCCATGCACTCAAATACTTCCAATAACTAAAACTGGGTATAAACCAAGTTCTATGATTAGAATCTTATTTTATTTTAAAAAATATCTATTTACTTATTTATGCATGTATGAACTGGGGTGTAGGCCAGAGGGGCAGGGGGAGAGAGGATTCCACAGAGACAGAGTAGGGAGTGGAACAGGCACATGTACTGAAATACACTGCTCAGGAGAACAGCAGGTCAAACAGGAGAGGGCTGCTGTGCCATTCATTGGGTCAGCTCCCTGGCAGGGATCTAATTCTGCTGCAGTGGCTGCTACAGCTTGACAGTGCTGAGACTTTAACCCTTGAACCACTGGGGAGGCTCTAGAATCTTATTTTAAACATTATGGTGGCACTCTGACGATGCATAGCAACTTCATTTGGACTCTTCATAATTAAACAGATGATGGCCTGGATGCCTCAGAAAGTACAGTGGCTCAGGGATTCCTGAAATTCCTAAAGTAACAATGTCTCATTCTAAGTGCATGTACATTTTGTTGGGGAAGATGTCATAGGATCATCATAGTCACAAGTTAGCACATCAAGACACATTCAGAACTTTGAAAATCACACTTATGAAAAAAAAAGACACTTCCATATTGTGTGTATGTGTAATTTTAACATCTACAACCATGAACCTAAAATAAACCTTCTCAAATGATTATATAAACACATTTTCCTCATCTAATTTTAAGGAGACACCCACTATTTTCAATAAACTTCAGAAAATATCCAACTTCTGATAGGTAATAATCCAGTCAGTGAATGAGAAAGTTTATCTGCTGAAAGGGGGCTGGAGGTGCTACATCTTAGCCATGCTGCCACTGGCCTTCAGCTTAATCCTGCCTTGCCTTTTACCTCCTAATAATCATCAAACAATCATTTTTAAACGGTTAAGCACTTACCATAATGTGATTGAAATGCCTGTGGTTTGACAACCTGATTACAGTCGTTACACACCACCAAGTAGAAATCATCATGGGCTGGACAGAGACCAAATATTGGCATGTCTGCAACAACAAAAAAGGAGACACCACTCACTCATTTAGCTCTGATTAATCTGAAATCATCTGAGGTGGTGGTACTTTCTAAAGGAACTGTCTTATAAAGGGCACAGGAGAAAATTTTACCCCACTTTAAAAGTAACTGATGTGGCATACCATGACTGTTAAGAGAAAAATCAAATGAGGCTTACAGAGACACCTTTACAATGGGTTAAAATATAATGCATCAAAAATCATTAGTATGAGGTGAAACAGACAACTCTATTAAAATGCAAACAATGAATACATTCACACAAGAAAGAAACTTCAGATGAACTCCACTCCACCAAGGGATATGGGAAGAATCTGCAACCATATAAAATGCTTAGCAATTCACAAAGCTGCACCATCTAATGATACTTGTTTAACTATACATTCTATTCCAGCCATCTGGTCTCCTGAGTTCTATGTAACAATTACTAAATAAAGCAGAGGTTTCATTAAAGAGTAAAACTGCTGGTTTCCTTAGCATATGATACAAAGAAAATTATTTTTTTATATGTTACAACAATCGCTAGTCCTTTTGCTCATATACTGATGACTGATGGACAGAGATGGAACTTTAGTATAAATACAACACTGTACACATTAAGCTGAGTTCAGTTACTAGAGTAAGACAAGATACAAGCAGTTGCCTTTTTTCATAGTAATAACTGAACACAAATGTGAAACTAAACAATCTGCACATACATGAAAACTGGAAGTAAATTAATACTTGTAATACATGGTTAACTAAAAATTATTAACCATGAACAATGGCAATAATCTAGGGAAAAGAGTCAAAAGTTTAGGTTCTGAATCTTTTTAGGGTCTAAATCTTTTAGAATTTCAAAACTGGTGACTTAAAGTGTTTTACACTGTTTAGAGTATTTACAATGAATGAATAATTGGTACACTGCAATTATACAAATATCTTAATCACCAAAAAATCTGATTTAAAAGGGGAATAGTGGTGGGGAAGGGGGTGTCCAAAAAGTTGATTAGTATTTGCTTTCTTTCCTGTAAGATTTAATTTCACACTTTTTCCAGCTTGGGTGATCTCAGTGGTTTTAAAGGCAAAAGAAATGTCTTAAGGAGAAGTAAACTTATAATAATCTCTACAATGTCAAATTCCTGATGGATATCTACACACAGCTGTTAATTTAGATATTCTTACATAGTTTCTACTTCACTGAATTTCTCACCTAGCTAGCTATGAATCTGAGGTACACCAGGAGCCAAACATGATTCTGGGGCTGTGGCAGGAGCACCAAGCAGTTTTATGTGCTACTCTTTCCTCACAGCTACTAGATAGATACCATCTCCGCACTCAAGGAAACTGACGCTGAGAGGTGTCTGAGAGCTGGGATTTGATTCTGAAGAATAACGTCTTAGATTTAGTTCCTCTTAAAGACCAGCAGAATGATGATCTCTAAAAATCCCTTCCAGATTCCAATTCCAAAAAGCTGCATTATCAGAACTGAACACCTTTGACTGAATGAACATATTAGATAATGTAAGAAGCTTCTAGTAGAGTGCTGACTTCTGTGACTAAGCTTAATCATTTAATGAAAAGAAGAGCCAAACAATGTGCTATTTTCCTTGAAAGCATGCCCACACTGAGTTAAAAATAGTATATGTAGGAGAAGGGGAAAGGTTACAATCACGCAATGCTCAACAAGTAATAAGCCATTTTCCATAGCTATAATCTCTTGACATGATATTTCATCTAAAGAATAAAAATTTAAAGTAGTTTACCTGAAGTTACATAAACCCCTGTGCCAAATGCCTCCAGTAAACAAGAAGAAACTCTGAATTACAGAAATGGCTTAATTTTCAGTTTATTATACAGCTGAAAAGTACGAAATGTTTCAAGTATGAAATTAACAGTTTCATTATGAAATCAACTCAGTTTTATTAGCTAGTTAAAACACCATTAAAATTAAGAAAACAAAAAATAAAATTTCATTTTATATTTAGGCCTATGCAATGCACTGGTTTTTATGTTTTCCCACAGAACATTTAAAATCTATCATTTAGCCTGGTATCAGATACTTCTAGGGAATGCCCTCTAATACCTTATAAATAATGCAATTTAAAATACAAAAAAATGTACCAATCCTCTGAAGTAATAAGAATGCAATATGCCACAATGATACACATTTAACAAGGGGCTGCTATCCAAGAGCCATAAAGAACTCACACAATTCAACCAAAAGAAAACAAATAACCCACTCAAAATAAACAAGAATAGAAACTTCCACAGAAGATATACAGAAATGCTCATAATTACTATTATCAGAGAGGTGCAAAGCAAAGCCCCAATGATACTATCTCACACCCGTGAGAATGGCCCATATCAGATAAACCAGAAACTAGTGATGTAGAGGTTATGGAGAAAAAGAATCCCACACGCACCACCAGGGAGAATGTCAACTGCATCAGCCCCTACGGAAGCAGCATTAAAGTTGCTCCAATTCTTAAAAATAGACTCACTATATAATCTAATTTCTCTCTTAAGTATAAACCCAAAGAATGATTACTTTGATCCTTTTTTAAAACTTAAAAACAGGCCCTCCCTGGTGGCACAGCGGGTTAAAGCACAGCACTAAGAAGCTTAAGCCACTTCCGTATGAGTTCGATTCCTGCCTGCCCCGGAGGAGATCCACATGGCGAGGCAGCCTCTCCTGACCCGCCCGCTGCTCCCCTCAGCAGTGTACTTCGTCGATCTGCCTGTTCTGCTCCCCGTTCTGTCTCTGGTGAATCCTCTCACCCATCGCATCTCTGGCCTATAGCCCAGTTCTGTATAAATAAAAAAACCTTAAGAACATTAACAATAAACCTGAGAGGATAGGTGTCATTCTGCAAGGGACTAGGAATTGATACTCTATAAAAATTTCAAAGTTCTTAATAACCTAAGACAGTTTGCAATTGAAGATGATAATCATAACTGATAAACAGCTATATACAATGTCCAACCCCATGTTAAACACTTTATACAGGATTTGTCCACATACAATCCTTTAACAGATGGAGATGTGAATTTCCAGGCTGAAACCACAACCAACATACATGTGCACACACAGAGAGAATCCTGTGGAAACAAACATATACACTTATATACAATTCATGCAATCCTATGAAAATTGAGATTCACTGTGAAAATTTAAAGCAGCTTTAGCTTTCTAAATTCTTTACTTTTGAGTATCACAATTTGGAAGTAAGCTAAAATATAAAGTCAGTCAAATAAAATATCTACTTCAGCAAAAAAAAAAAGACATTCTATGTCTTTTTTTTTTTTTTGCAATGAAACATTCCGGAGGCCTTAGCAACAGGCACAGAATGTAGAATGTTATGGTAACAGGGATAATGAAATAATTTTTTTGATGTGAGAATATGTATGTTTCTGAATATCTTTGAAGCATAAGGTCATAATCAGTCCATCTCCAAATTACTACACTGAAACTTGCCTAAGTGCAAGTAGTGAAGTTTGACTTGAAATATAAAATTAAATAACTGATAACAATGAATTCTTACAGAGATAAAAAAATGTTTATAAAATATATAGCTTAAACTACTATATTTGTAAAAATAAACAAAAGTTTCAAAAGTGTAGTTTAGACTTTGAACTAATTTGAAAGAATGAATTTTACTGTATGAAAGTACTAAATTTTTTTTTTTCTTCAGGAATCAGTCACTCTTAACTTTCAGTTAGCAAGAGGCCCAGCACCCACATCTAGGCCATCATGTCCTCTGGAGACCCCAGGTCTGCATACTAAGGAATGAATGAGTTTGATATGTGCATGTGTGCAAAACCTCTATGGTCACATGCAGAATGAAGGTCCTTTGTCCAAATCCAGACCCTGAACAGAACAGTATATATGCGGGTACTCTGGTGCCACTGTTAAGGGGAAGGATGTCCTATAGGAACTCTGCAGAGGAACTCTCCAGCTTTCTGGATTCCACCCCTACCCCACTTCCAGTGACTGGAAAACTACAACTCTCAGCAGTACCAGGGAGAGAACTGCAAGGACCCAGGGGTGGAGCTAAGCAGGCATTCTGGGACTTTGGGGGATAAATAGAGAGGGGTTTTTTTTCACAGTTGGCTCTGGAGAGGTAACAGCTTTCTCTCTCTGGAGCAAGGGCTCTCAGACCATGTGACTGGGGGCCAGCAGTTAAGTCTGGTTAAGACAGCTCCAAGTTAGTAGAGCTGGTAAGATATTCCAGTTACTTTGTATTCCTCTCTTTCTTTAGGTTGTTTCCTTTTCCTTTCCCCTCTTTGTAAATAAACCCACTACCCTTTTTTCTGTGTGTCTGCAGAACCATTACATTTTAAGCTCATGGGTGAGGACTCACAGAGAGGTTCACTCTGGGCTACCCTGTAACACTACTACGCCTGTTTTGAGTACTGGGACCACCACCAACAAACATTTCATTTTTGTAGTACCCTGTATGTCTCATTTTTCCCATACTCCAAATTTTACAAGCCAGTGACTCAAATTTCTACTTCCTGAGCTCTGTCTGGACTCACATATCCAATTATCTACCATTCATTGACATCTGGAGGTCTAATATAGGTCTCACATGGGACAGGAAATTCCAAGAGAACCTCACTCTTCATTCTACCCTGTCCCCTTTTCTGGATAAAAGAGACTATTCATCCCCTAATCAAACTAAATCAAACTGCAGGTGTCATCTCTGACTTTATCTTCTGACATCAGACCACCAGTAGGTCTGTGCAGTTCTGCTCTAACATCTCTGTCCCTTCTCTCCAATGTCTCTTCTATCACCATTCATCTGTAACCAACACCTTTCCAATGGATGAAGGAAGAAGTCTCAGAGGTGGTCTACAATCCCTTCTGTATAGCTGCCAGAGTGAGTCTTTTAAGTAGTTCTGTTTAAAATTCTCTAGTGTTTTTCTTGTTTTCTTAGAATAAACCCCATCCCTTAGCATAGCCTCCAAGACCCTACCAGATGTTTACCACCCT